ACAAGTTGTTTCTGGGGCAGAAACAGACAAAACTTGTCCTTAGGCTGGGGGTCTGCGGCCACACCGCCCCCTCCATCCCCTGGGAGCACACACAGCCCCCCTCCAGCTCGCTGAGTATCCCTAATTAATCACTATCACGATATATTATCATTCAAGGTATTTTTAATATTTATTAGGTAGGAAATGGGCTTTTTCTTTAAAGCCATCGCTGGTGACATCCTCACCCTCTGCTCCCCATCTCTCTTTTTCCAGCTCTGATGTACTTGGTGAATCCAAATAAATTCCAGGTGGAGTTTGGGGGGGGGTAATCCGGCACCCTGCCTAGGAATGGGTGACACATTTGACAGCGGAATCTCTGCAAAGCTTCCAAGGTAGTTTTGTCGGGCAAACAAAACGTGCTCCTCTCCTTTTATGAAATCAACTGGAGAAGCAAAATGAGAAATAAAGGTTTTAAGGAAGCCAGAGTAGCTCTGATAGCCCGGAGGCAAAGCACAGCTGTTCCCATAAACACCAGCTGATGCTTGATTATTTTTTCCATCAAATTTACCATAATCTAAAACTTTAATTCAAGTTAGAAACGAGCAGTATGTTAACACCGATAACCCCATCCTGAAATCCTCCACGGAAATACTTCGGAGCAGGGGGCAAAGTGAGAGCTGAGTCAACATTCTTCCTCCAAATTAGGGGCAATATCCGCTCAGTTCAAAATTATTTAAACTCTCTCCGTGCGTATCAAGGTTTGCCGGGAAGGGTTTGTGCTTTCGCTGGATGTCTCCTGTATGTGACACCACCTGCACAGTGAGGCAAAAATATAGAGCATCAATTCTGACAGCTCCAAAAGTCATCAGGACAGAGCCGACTGTTGCCAAATACGATCCCACGTCCTGGATTTTTGCACGCAGAGCTGTCCCAAGGACCTGTAAGCTGGATTTCCCTCCTTGTGAGCCATGCAGAAGTCACCACATGCTACATCTGCACAGAATCCTTGCGGAAAGTCCTGGGGTCAGGATAAAAGCCCTTGTGAGCAGATGGGTGGGTGCAGGAAAGTCTCAAAGCCCTGGCAAGTGCCAGGGGTTCAAACTTTGGCATGGGTCTGGGAAGATGGCATGGGGACCAGGCTGTGTCACCCATCAGCGGTGTCCTTGCCCTCTCAGTTTAATAGATGGTTTGGCTCCTGGATCCCTCAGACACTCAGGGAAAATACCCCACACAAATAGCAGCTAACGCTCCTGAGGTTCTCGGGACCTGTAAGCTGCAATTTCAGCCTGGCGTGAGCCTTCCCCATTCTTCTAGACCAACTCAAAGTCTACAAAATATCCAGCAACAAAGGGGTCAGCGCCAGTGATGTGTTCATCGACCACCAGTTTTCTCCACAGAGTTTGTTTGCCCCTTATCCCCCGGGAATTCATTTCTCCTGAAGGCAAACTTCGTCCAGTCTGATTTTTTATTTTGGTGAGGACTTTATGTTCATTGCAGAGGAATTTTGTCTCCGGGCGCAGGAGCTCAGACACACTATAAATGCTTGATAGCTTTGCCCACCTCTTCTGAGTTATTATTTTATTAAAAAAAAAAAAAAATGATTTATTATGGCTCGGAGTGGCTCAAATTCACTGAGCTCACCAATGTGATACTTTTTGTCTCATATTGGGTGTACTCAGCGACAGTGTCACAGCCTTTAATAACGCACTTTAATTAATCCTGGAATTCTGAATGTGCTGCTATGTTCATTTTTCAAAGAGGGGTCACAGTAGTAAAGAAAAATCTACATTGCTTGGGCAGGGCCACAGCAGGAGTCTGCGGCAGACCAGGAAATTAATCACTTAATCATTCTGCCAATTTGACTACCTGAGCTCTCTGGACTGATGAAACTGTTCCCATTATCCAGGGTGGCCTTTCCCACCTGCAAAACAGGAGGAGCAAGGGAAGGGAGGGAGGGGAAAGAAAGTAGAGGAAGTGTTTAGTGAGGGGTGGGAGTTGGAAAAGAAAAGGGTGTAAAAGCAGGGGCTGGAGGAAGGATGGTAGAAGCCGAAAAGCTGAAGGAGGAGAGAGAAACATCTGCAGAGAAGCAGCAGCAAAGATTCAAATGGAAAAATATGAGAAAAAATGATATGCCACAGATCATTCAATAGCTATCACTATATGCAAAGCAGTATCAGCTCTTTACTGCCCAGCCCATAGTAAAATAGATTCAGAGTTTTATATTTAACAAGGAAAATGAAGATGAGTCACCAAGCATTTTTTGTCTAAACACACACAGAAAGAGTTCTTGCATACTTGCAGTTGGAAAAGCATTTTAATAAAAGTTTGACGAAACTCTTCTTTTCTTTGTGCAGATTTGAAGGAATGCCTACGTATCATTCATGGCATCAAAACACATTGTTATACTGCAGAGGACACACAGTATTCTTGTATTAAAGTATCAAATGCTTTGATTTGAATTGGTCATTCTGTCAAAGAAAATCCATCAGGGAAAAAAATAACCATTCAAATACTATGTTTCTTGTATTTTCCAGTTAAATATTTTGAGCATCACAGTGGAGAGGGGTCTGATAGCTTGAGTCAGTTATAAACACCCGTAGAAAATGTGTTTAAAAGGCAACCGAGTGAGCCAAAATATCATAGTAAGTGCTCTTCCTGAGAGTGAGACATCAGTTTTCTTCTCAGAGGGTGGATTTTTGTCAGTTTCTCACAAGGCCTTGACAGAATGTCCTGTACCCTGTCTTGGTAAGCTTTCTCTTCTGCTAGACCCGATTCATATTCTCGCTGCTTCTCTTCTTCCGCAGCATCACGGGCCTGCTGTCGGTGGGCAATTTGAGCCCTCAGTTGCTCTTGGTATTCTTTTGCTTCCTTTATTTTCCTGGAAATGACATATGAACAGCATATTTATGAAGTGTGGGTAAAAAAATAAACTTGATTATTAATCTGCTAGCATCCAATTTTAGATGAAAGAACCATTCAAAACACATGAAAAAGGTGTTCAGAATAACTACCACTATTAACCAAATGCTATATGCCAACCTTACATTCTTCGGAGAATGAATTGTCTTATAGAGAATGAATCTATCTTATAGAGCAGATTACAAAATCAGTGCTTAGCAAAAAAAAAAAAAAAAAAAAAAATCTGCCCTCTCCAGGAGATCATTACCAACAAAGCCATCGGAGAACACAACAGATACCGGCCCTGGCAGGAGCTACTGGTCACCTTCCAGGGACAGGGGTGGAGAAAGCGCAAGAGGACGCGAGGGAAATGGAATGAGTGAAATCAGGCCCTTTGCCCTGGGCTTTGCGTGACACCCAGAGGAACAGCTCAGCTACTGCGTGTAACTATGCTCTCACTCTGAGGAGCCGTAAGGTAAGGAGAACCTGGTGCAGCTGGGTTACACGCAGTCCTCTGGTACTTTGGCGGCTCATTAATGGGTTGTTTAGAGGCTGTGTGGGGGTGGGTTTAGCAATAAGCTTGGACACACTTGTTCTAGGTAAGTAAGGAACTAACCTTTCATTAACCCTCCTCCCCAAACCTAATAACAGCTCAGAGTATGAGGGGGTGTATTGTAACAAACATGCGGGATGTAAATCACACAATGGTCCAAAAAAACCAAAACAAGAATATTTAATGAAATTCCGTTATCTGCTTGATGAGCTCAGAATTAGTGATTTAATACCAACTGCAGTATAACCAGAGCGTCTCTGAACAGAAGAGAGCCCACCCAGCATTCTTAGAGTTATCTGCAAATGAGAATGAGCCTGCTCACAGGTTTAAAAGAATGATCTGCAATGAGATGAACCAACGGCATAAAAGAAAGATACCTTGCGTATTTTTCTTCTTCTATATGTTTGAGTTCTGCAATTGCTTCAGCTAATAACTTCCTCTCTTGAGCGAGTTCTTCCTGCTCCTTTGCATTTCTCTGCACTGAAAAAAAAAAAAAAATCGAGTACATTCTCAGCTTATTTGTTTTTCATGCAGTCAGAATAGAAAAGATTTCACATTCAGAACTTCGTAATAGTAATAAAGTTAATAATGAGGACTGATTGCTCATTGGTAGGTTTGGTGCACAGACAGCGAGCTGTTACGACTTACGCTTCTCCTCAATCTGCAGTTGTCTTGTGTCCAGGACATCTTTCAGCAGCTGCTTTCGAGCCTCCTTTTCTAATTGTAGTTGCTCAGCCTTCTTGGCCCAAACCTTCGCCATCTCTTCTTTGAGGAGCTCGTTGGCTTTTTTTTCTCGCTGTTTCTCCTGCTCCAGCTGCTGAGCCAGGTGTGCCAGGTAAGTCTGTTGCTCCTTGAGCAGCTCTTGCTGCAAACACACAGACATTTGCAGATCTGAGTAAATGAGTACAAAAAAAGCATTTCAAAGTGCGAAAAGAAGCGATGGTTTGCAGCCAATGTGGGAAATGGAGAACCGGGAGCTCCATCCCAAACCTTTCAGGTTACGGGAAAGACCTGCGCAGAATCTTCCTCCTGGCCAGTCGACAGTGTCTGGACACAGCCTAAGAGCAGAACAAATACCTTGAGCAGAGTAATGAATGCAGCTCCCTCTCTCTTAACGTTACCTTGAGACCCATTTTCAACCCTGAGGCTGGACAATCTACCTGTTTCAAATTTAGGAAGTGACAGGCACATCCATGGTTTCGTAGCATTTCCAAAATATTTAACATGAGGTTTTGCATCTATGTCTTCAGCTATTAAAGACTTGAAACTCTTTCTTAGTATTAATTAATTACAATAAGTTAAATATTTACTTTCCTCTGTAGTTACAAATATTTAATAAATCAGGTCCTATGAAACAAACAATATCTGGCCTGATAGCTTTGCTGATTGCAAAGCATGTTTTAAAATACTCGCTGTGGTTTTAACAGATAACGGGCTTCTTCAGAGATGTAGAGGCTGGCAGGAGGAGAAGCAACAGGCTACGCAACAAAAGAATCAACTTGTTCAGAGAAAAGGGCTTGTGTCTGATCTCATTTGTACTCTGCTGTTCACTAAGGGCCACAAAATTAGTCTACATGAGGTATTGCCTGACAGCTTCACAATGAACACCTTAGCCCTTACTTTTCTTTTTGTTTTCTCCTCAGTGTCTTCCTGGGGTTCCTGAAGCAATTTTTCCAAGATCTTCATCTCTAGGGCAAGTTCACCTTGTTTTTCTTCATTAAGACGATTCTTCTTGTCCTGTACCGCACTGAGCAACATATCCCTGCGTTCCTTCTGCTTCTGTAGTTTCTCTCTCTGAAGTTGTTCATTTTCTACCTTAAGCAGTTGCTGCTGTTCTTCCTGCAACGGTAAAAATAGCCAGCTTGTAAAATCATTGCATAACATCAAACTCAGTGAAGGCTAGAATTAGTTTAACTGGAACACTGAAGAGCAAAGATAAATATTTAAAGACTTTCGTGCTGACATTGCAGAATTAGTGTCACCCATTACACCTGTTAAAGCATTAACATTTTAGCACATCATCCATTTCAAAAAATAGGAAACTATTATTTAGCCAAAATAAAAAAAAAATCGCAAAGCAGCATCAATAAGTAACTCAGCATAATTCCTGAACACCCTTTGAATAAGTTACAAGCACTCCCAGTCGTAACACGGTACGCGGCTGTCGTCAGCTTATCTACAGGTCTGTGAAACCATGCCTCCGCTGTCTTGAAGGTACACAGTTTTTTGTTAACCTGTTTTTAAATTAAATGTCTCTTTTGTAACGTCAATAAATATTCTAACATGCATCAGCAGGCTTCCCATTAACAACACCTCTAATCTCCCCATACAGAAGTACAAGCTGCACCTCCTACGGAACATAACTTGTTAGGCTGGATGTAAAGGACCGACTGACTCTTCCAGTGTTTCACAGCCAAAGCTGACTTTGCCATCTTCCTGAACAGCCAAATTCACTTTCAGAAGCTGGTAAAACAGCTTTGCAACTCAGTATATATTATTTGAGACACTAAGTAATCCAAAAAAACTTTGATCGGTAAAGAAAGAACGGGGAACTAGTTAGCAGTCTCCTGGGCAGGCTGGCACATGTCTTGGGCTGAACTCTGACATCGGTGAAGATGTATGAGAGTAGCTAATGCAAAACCTGCTGTCTCTTGTCATCCAGCCAGAGATATCTTGAAGCACACACATGGTCTATCGTGGCAAAGGTGCAAGTTTTGCTTCCCTAAATAATCTTTTCATTGCACAACCAGGAGAAACCATTCTACACAGAAACACTTCGCTTGTTCATAGCGTGTCCTTCACCCGGGTGAAACCCCTGATCATTACCGAGTACCAACTCTGTACAGAAAAACTCGTCACATCCCTCTTCTGCTGGAAAAGGATTACATCCCATTTGCAATAAAGAAACTCTCCTTTATGGACCCTTTGAAGAAAGTTTTTTTTTTTTTTTCAGAGACTAAACCATTTTACCAGAAATTTCTCTCCTTGATGGAGCCCAAGGCAGCTATCTTCAGGGGAAGCTACATCATCTTCTACTCTAATCACATTTTTATGAAAAGGAGATGTGTTCTTTGCCTGTGAGGTTTGTCAGCACCTTAAAAGTTGTTACAAGAAAATAATTTTATTCCGTGTGTTTTTAAATAAGTGAAACAGTACAGACTAGCTTGGAGTAAGGACTCTCCTGTTTTACAGCCAGGATTTTCAGAGCTTTACATTCATTATTGTCATTATTTTTTAAAAGCAATAGAGTATATGTGTTGCCAACATCAGCTTCCAGTGCCTAACAGGGTACCCCAAGTGATCCTTCAGTTGCTACATGTAAATACCTTCAAAATAATGACTGAGTCTGAACGAAATAGTCTCCCATAACTCACAAACACAGAATTCTGGGAACTAGCAAACCCCACTAAAGCCAGAACAACTACAGCAAGCCTACACTGGGCAGAGATGAGGAAAAAAAGGAGGACAGAGGCCAGAACCGTTGGGCCACAGGAGCCAAATGTGGCACCCAACAGCAGCCAGCACTAATAGCAGAGAGAGCTTAAGCACTGCTTGCTGATTTATTATTTAAAAAAAAAAAAAAAAAAGTAGATTCTGAAATTCAGTCAGCTGGGACACAAGCAGTTGGGATTTCTCCTATAAATGTGTCTCCTCACGTATGTGCCAGGGTCCTGAGTGCACCAACAGGCTCTGCAGCCTCTCTGCAGGAGCCTGGCCGCCAGCCCCAGTGTGAACCTTGGATCACAGAGCTGGGACAGAGTGGTGCGAGAAAGGGCTGAGAGGAGTCACTTGGCAGCTGCAGTTAGGCTCAGTCTCTCGCCCTCAGTGCCTACGTGAGCTATGCTGCAGGTACGCTTTCACCCGAGGTCAATCTTGATTCCAGGCCTGTTGACTTGCTGGCTTCATCTTGGACTTCATCACTACCGACCCACCGAGCAGTTTGGACCATTGATGACACCAGTGAAGGTCAGCAGACCTGCTCTGCTCATTTCTTTGGGTACCGTGGGACCCTTGTTGGGGTGGACAGCACACTTGCCTGCCCTGCTGTCATCCTCAGCAAGGGGGTGGAAGAAACTGAAATCAGAAAATTGCAAAGCTGTCTGGCAAAAGCTTAAAAACATTTCCCACAAAGGCTCTGAGAGGCTTTGAATGCCAAAATCCTTTACATGCTACGTTTCAAAAGATGTATTTCTCTCTGTAAACAGGAACGCATTTGCCACAGCTCTGGAAAAGAGGCTTAGCATAATAGGACAGTCTCAGATACTAATGGAATCAGTGAAGATACAAATAAGGCACGGATTAATCTAAATGTCTGGTAAGCCTGTCATTAGGAGGGCTTTATGCAGAACCGTGAATTGAGATTGATGTGGAAGTTACCAGTAATCGAGCCTCTTCTTCCTTCAGCCGCTTCTCCTCCTCTTTGTGAGCACTGAGCACCGCGACCTGGGCGGTCAGCACATCCAGGATTTCCCGATTCTTTTCTGCTGACTTCTGCATCTCCACCACCTCTCGCTTCTCCTTAGCCAACCTATCCTCTTCCCAAAGCTCTGCAAACATCTGCTCCTCCTTCTTCTGTTGCTTTTTCAATTCTTCCTTCAGAGCTAGCTGGGCCAGCCGGTCTTCACACAATTCCTTCTGATGCTGCTTCATCAGCTGTAGACGCAGCTCGTCGCATTGTTGTCTGAAAGGCAACGTAAAAGGTTTTAAAAAAAAAAGTTTAAAAATAATAAGCAAGTCTGGAGGTATGTGGTGGATGGAGGCTCCCAGCTCAGAGCTGCGCAGAGGACTACAGCTCAGGATGCCAAATTCTACACTGGGTCCAACACTGACTCCTTGTGAGGTGTTAAGGGATCACTGAGAGCCTGATCCGATGGAGATTTTGACCTTAATCACTTGAAGAGCAGATCCTGTATTTGCATTTGTAAAAATAAATGCACGATATGCAAATATTTTATATATACAAGGTATATTTTGTAGAGGTAGTTGAAACGTGTGTTGTGTGCAGGTTTTTTATAGTTTTTTTTAATATATAAAACACATGCACACTACACTTGTTCAAGCATGTAGGCTGCCCTTTATTCAAATGAAGGTGTACAATAAGTTTACTAGTCCCTTGAAAGCTCATTCATTTTCAGAAAATACTTGGAGCGGAAATTGAGGTTACACAGTTGAACAGGAACCGCTATGAATTTTTTTAATGAAGTTACGTGGGATAATTCAGAAAAGTTGCAATTAAAGTCTGAAGCAGCTAGAAAGTCAAACAAGTAATGCAGCTTTCCATTTGCATTTCCTCACTGCAACTGAGTTGCTTATAAGCAGGTATCTGTTGAAGAACACGCGACTATTCAGAGATTCTGCTTTTATTTTTACAAACAAAGCATTATCAAGAGCAACATATGCTACCAAACGATATTTAATTTGAACATTATACAAACATTTTAATTGTTTTATAACCAGGATATAGATTTTCATAAAATCAAAACATGAAACTGAAGATCTACAAGCATGAAGGATCTGTAAGCTCTAAGGATGTGTGACAGACACACACGAATGCTGTGAAGTAAAACTAAGTCCCACTATTTCATCCTGAATGAAACCATCTTCTACAGATTTTTGCCGTGCTATTGAGGAATTCCTAGCAGACATCATATGATATCGCTGACTGAATCTTGAGCCGCTGCGTGACAGCAGCAGTTACCCGTACCATGTGAAAATCTATTACTTTATACAATGTTTAGCTGACAATCCTGTGTAGCAAAAGTATTAAATATTCATCAAGCAACTAGCTCACAGTACCAGCACTCTCCACATCAGGATAGTTATTTAATTTTCATAACAGCAGCAATGAAGCAAAATCTGAATGAATTCCATTGCCTATGATTTTTTTTTTACTGAAAAGCAAAATTAAGTTTGCCACCACTGAAGACAGATATTTGTTGTTTTGCTTTTTCATGTTCTGTGGCTTTGCTAAGGATCCGTCTTTGCAAATTCTTCACTTTTCTAAGTGATTCCTAGATCCAGTATAGCTGCTGTCTCCTTCTAAACCCACATCTATATTCCCTGACCTGGGTTTTGGGTCGTCATCCTCTATCTGGGACCACAGGTTCACACCTCCAGAAACAATGCAAATTTGGCCTCTCTGAGGTCAATTCCTATTTCTGCTGGCAATGAGGCA